TTCAGCTGAGATACATATTTAAAGTGAAAATTCCCCTTTGAAAAAACAAAAGAAAAAAAATCAAAAGTGGAGAACAGGACAACCCAGCTGGACACCTCACAAAGAGCCTGTTGTTGAAACATCAACACAGACTTAATGCATTATTCTCTTTGAAATAAGAGCTCAAACAATGCAGACTTCTAGGAGGAAAGCACATTACCTTTACGAAAAAAATGTTGTCGAGTCAACAAACAACGGTTCCGGTTCTTACCTCGACACTGAACGGCTGCTCCTCGCCGTTCACCGCGCATAAAATCCACAGCAACAACTGCAAGCATAGCGTTCCCATACAGCAGAGACATCTCCTATTGCGGACCGCCGATAAAACCATAGTGAACCCCGCTGCTGTCGCTTAATGTCTCTGTTCGGTTATATTTACAGTCGATACAAAACAATGGGACAGCGGGGATAAATCCTACACGTTTAGCAGCGACATTGCCGATGTCTCGATGTTTCTCTTGCGGCGCCGAGAGCAGAGGAGGAGGAGAGGAGAGGAGAGGGAAAGGGGGGAGAAGCAGCGGATTCGTCGACCGCTCGCTTCGCTGCTTTCCGCCGCGGGCTTCGGCAGGAGTTTATCCCCCGGGGAAAGTCTCGCTGTCAACGCCTGTCCCGGTCTTGCAGTCCCCGGGTTAGTCCTCCGGTGCACCGGTTGTTCCAAGCGGACGCGTCCAGCCCGTTTTCTGCACCGCGCGGCATAGCTGCCCGTTTTCAATCGTGTTTCCCACCGAATGCGCATGCGCGCGCTGCCACGAGCGCCCCCCTTCCCCCCAACCCACTCCTCAGCTAAATTCTCTTATAAAAACAGACCATGCTCCCGACGGCATTTGTTTGAAATGTCTTTCACAAGCTTCAGTGTCGCTGTTTCCTCTGTCAGGGCATTAAAACTCACATGTTCATGCAAATGAACACTAAATTAAGTTTTCAGATTTGGAGTTTCCCAGTGTTTCACAGCATAATTTTAACGTTGTTGTAGTATAACCCAGAAGAGGAGTGTCACTTTAGGAGAATACAGAGACAACGTCTGGTCGTAACTTCCGAAATAAAAGTGGAATGCAGCTAGCTCACCTTATTTCCCTTTTCACATCTTTCAACGTCAGCAAGTGGGTTTCAGCAAAGGGCTGAACCTGAATTACTTTGGGTATATTTATGAATGTAATATAGCAATGTTACAGCCATGACGTATATCAGGACAAAGGTCTTTTGAAGCATTGCTTTAATAAAGCCGAAATAACCTCTTTTCTAAGATATTTCTTTCTGTAATTTGCCTAGAAACACTGTCAGTTATATGAGAATATATATTCCTCTGTAAGCTGTTTAGTGTTTACATAGTTTCTTTAAATTTGTGTTTTTGCCTTCCCATTAATTGGTTTGGATAAATGAATTCTTTTTTAATTTTTTTAACTTACTTTTTATCTACCAATACAAAACTGCATGTTGTATCACTGTATTATTTGTGCGTGTATGTGTGTGTGTTTACTGTATTCATTTTGAAAAACCGACAAGGCCACTAGAGGACGATGATGGGCTCACTGCTTGTTTCAATAACCACAACCCTCAGTGAATTAATCTGCTATGTTACCCAGAAGTCCCTTCTGTGTCTCAGCTTTGTTTCCAGTAAGTGATGATGGTGATGATGTTGCCATCGACTGTCATTGCAGTTACTGTAGAGTAAGTGATGCCATCAAGGTCCTGCTTTTACAGGCTAACCTTTCATCAAGGCCTTATCATCTTTACATTTCTAAAGCATCCTATAATGATTTTATATTTTCATAGTAAAAAAAAAACGTTTTGGAAGTGCTGTGGTCTGGTGAAAGAACTATACTTTGACTTGTGGCTCTCAAGCAATCCACAAGTAAAGCTGGATCTAATGAAAAGGCCTTTTCTTCTAAACTCCTCGGATAATAGAGAAGGGTCAGATCTAATGAGTCGGATCAATGGTTTTCCACTTAGACTAACACCTGGGGATGAGAAACAAGTCAGTGTGTGTCAGTGTATGTACGTGCCACAGAAAAAGTTAGGTGAGCCGCACCATTAGCCCATTGATGGGGTTTCAATTTGCACACACAAACACACACACACACACACACACACACACACTACCCTGCTCTGAGAAATGCTCAACGATCACACTAAATGAAAAACTCCATTTAAAGTTTGGAAAGATGTCAGCAACATCACAGTCAGGAATACAACCATTTGACCCCTACTGGACCCACGAGTCTTGGGTTTCTAAGACACTGTCACACTACAATGGTGAAAACGTCTCACTGTAAGTCATAACGGGACTACAAATAACACAGTTCACACATGTGAATTAAATGTATATCAAGATACAGTAAGGGAGAAACATGTGACACAGTTCATCACGTGTTGGATAAAGGATAAAGGATGCGCTGTGCTCAGAGGTCTGCTGACTCACACAGCCATTAGTTCACACTGCGTGTAACAAAAAGCGGATCGCAGACTCGGGAATTGTTGATTTACCTTTTGCACAGCTGAGCCCCCGTCTAGAATTGTAGAGATTTATGGGAGATGCAGAGATGGATGATTTACCTCTTAGTTGATGAGCATAGACACTAAAATCACACTAGGTATCCATAGATCAATGACTCAACCTAACCTGGCAAGTTCTCATTTCCTCTCACTGTTGAGATCATGCTAATGCCTTCCTCTCACTCAAAATAGTGTGTGTTGCTGGAAACCAGCACAATTTCTGTCAAGAAGGTAAAAAAAAAAAGATGTATTGTGCCACTCATCTTGGCATTTCCAAAACTTTTTTTTTATCCCACGCGACATCTGCCGACTTCCGGTATACATTCATATGAAATTCCTGCTGTTTGCCTACTACACAAGTAAAGTAAAGATGAGATGAAAAATGCTTTTTTAATCCTTTTTAGATCCCATCCCTGGTGATATTTTGCACCTCCATAACAATATAAAACAAATAAAAAACTTTTAAAAATCGTTGTTTTTCTATATCAAAATGTAATAATCGTTTCTTCCTTTAAAAATAAATATGACATGTGCTTACACAAGGTGGTACCAACCAATTTCAACCAATAATAGAGTGGTGCAGGGATAATGTATTTTCTGTAACCCAGAAGTTAGCATCACACTGGTTCCCTTGAAAAAAAGCCAATTGTTTTTTTTTCCATTTGATTCTGAATCATTGCACAACCTTCACAAATGAACACCAATATAATGATTTGCGAAGCCTGAACGTTAGGCTACAAACAAACTACACCACAGTCACTTCACATCATCACCACTAAGCTAAGGGCGGACTATTCAATGTGATGACATTTTGTAGTCTCATTTAGCCGGACACGCAAAAGCTTCAAAATTTAAAATTGGGGTATTGTACTTATTTATTTTATAGCATAGCATAGCACATCATAAATACATAAATATACCTTCCCCTCAAATCTGGATCTGCCTCAATAAATGCATTAATGTGCTGCCTGGCTGATGTCAAAAGCTGGCTCTCGCTAAATTTTCTATGCCTCAATGAAGATAAAACAGAAATCATGTTAATAAATACACTACTGGTGCGCTGTACAACGGGCAGTGTGAAATTTATTTGTTGGCTGGTGGCAGTCTTTTGCATGTACTGTAGGTACTGTGTGTGCGGGTATGTGGACTGGCGACAGTCTGTGTATGTAATGTATGTATGCAATATATTATTTGTATTGTTTTAGCAGCAGACACTGTAAGTATGTTTCCAAGACAAATTTCCTTCGGGACAATAAAGTCTATCTTATCTTATCTTATCTTAAATCCCTCTCCCTTTTCAGCTGCTATACCGGACAGTCCTTCATTGTGTCTTGGCCCCATGGCAACCCGTGATCTTGGACTCATCTTTTATATTGGACCTCCAAGTTGCGTCTGTGGTCAAAGTCAGCTTCTTTCAGCTAAGACTCTTAGCTAAGGTCAAAGCCTTTCTATCCTCAAAAGACCTGGAGAAAGTTATTCTTGCTTTTATCACCTCGAGACTGGACTATTGTAATTCTTTATATGCTAGAATCGGCAAAAAACTTCTATCACACCTTCAGTTGTTGCAGAACTCTGCAGCGAGACTTTTAACTGGTACACGCAGGCGTGAACACATTTCACCGATCTTAAAATCCCTTCATTCACCTGTAGAGTACAGAATTCATTTTAAAATGTTATTTTTTTTTAAATGTTTAAATGGCGCCGCCCAGTCTATCTGTCTGACCTGCTGCAGCCCTATACCCCACCTCACTCACTGAGATCTCTCGGCCAACAGCTTTTAGTTGTTCCGAAAACAAAAATGACAACCCGGGCCAACCGGTCCTTCTCTGTTGCTGCCCCTAAGCTCTGGAACAACCTTCCCCTTCATATTAGGTTGTCATCCACCTTACAAATGTTTAAAAGCCATTTAAAAACCTATTACTTTTCCCTGGCCTATCACCTTTGATCTTAACATGGCACTTTTGTGTGATTTGTGTCAGTTTGTCTTGATTTACTCTTACTGTTTGATTTACTCTTACTTGATTTACTCTTACTCTCACTTACTTACTTACTTCCAGTCTTTGATTGTATGACTGCTTATCTTGTATCTACTCTAACAGTGTGACCCGATTTACCCCAAAAACAGATGTTTCCTCCTCACCAGTTTCTGAGCAAAGCTATCCACCATCTTATTAAAATCCATCGTTCTGACCAGATTGCTACTTCCATACATTATTATTTCCATTTGTGCAGTTTATGGCACACAAAAAACAACTTGCGATGTTGATCTCCCTTCTTATTTGTTTTCTACACCCACGTGCACAGGCATCTCCTGATGATGTCGGAGGGAAACCGGTCTGTTAGCACTGAGCTACAGAGCAAGCAATTTCTGTCAGGTTGACACATTTTTTCTGTGACTGAAAGCTTCTGTGCGCTCCTTTAACATTAGTAAAGATGATTGGTAATTTCCATCGCATTTGGTCGAATATCCGTTGCCGAATAAACTACACGGGCACGGCTGAAATGAGGAAGTAGTGACACAGACGTTTTGTCCCTTCTCTTCATCCCTTGTATTTAATTAATTTCACCACACTTAGCTGTGATAAAAGTTTACAATCATTTGGCCAGCGGGGAAGTTTGACTTCCTTGCTTTGTTCTCCTTGTGCTCATTTAGAAGTTTGTTGGCTGGTTAAATCATTTTCTCATCCGGACTTCCTCTCTCCTTTTTCTCATCGTCTCTCTCTTTCTCTCCTCCTCTTAATGATTTCCTCTCTCACTTGATAATCCTGAATACCCTTTCTGAAAGGTTCTGGCCCTTTCCAACTGTCCCTCCCACCAGCGCGGAGCTTTGCCAGGATCCTCAAAGCCTCCCTTTCCAAACATGACTCTGTCTCATAACTGCTGCATCTGCTCCCAGTCAGACCTCCTGGTTCTCCTGGCAGCATGAATCGAAAGCCTCCCGTCTGTCTCCCTTTCTCTCTGAGCAGAGGAATTAAATAAAGAGTATGGAGGGAAGATGAAATGACGCGAGCGATCTGCAACGAAGCACTGATCTTCCCCCAGGCGATTGTATTATTCAAGGTATTATAAAACCTATAGTACATTTGTTCTGGGAATGACAAATCCCTGTGTACTTCTGCTTCTGTACTTTCTCATGCAACACAAGGTCAAATGTACCTCAATTTATCAACAAAAGGAAATTGGCAGCAGACATTTCCCTCATTTATTTAGGAGTGAAACTTGTCT